TTCGAGTGGGAAAGCGTTGAAGTTTTCCCTCGATTGGCTCGATGCGCTTCAAATGATTCCAAAGATTCGCACACAACAAAAGCGAAAGGCCATCGAACAACTGTATCGAATTACCAATCAGCCAGGACAATGGAGTCCTGCCAGAGGGTCAAATCCCACACCCTTTTGGCCTAAATGGGGAGGGAAACTAGTGCAAGTGGTGACATCACCTCTGAACCTGTCGCGGGAATATATGGAAAGCTTTTTAGTTAATTATTAAAATAATTTTTGAATTATTTGATAATATTAAGTGACTGTCTAAGCATAAAATATATACACAAATTTAAAACCTATATTTAAATATTATAAAATAAATATTTAAAACAATTTAGCCAGGCATTTTCCTAGTGTACATCCATATAAACCCATCAACAGCGTTATGAATGCTCTTTACTATCACTTACGCCGACTCCTTCCACCGTCGAACAATTGAATTGAAAGGATCATCAAATGACAAAATTCTGGTTTGAGGAGCCTTTTGGAACAGCATCTTGGCCAAATTGCCGACAATTTGGGTTAACTGTAAAATTTCTGCAGGCCGAAAGAGCAAACAGTAAACAGCAAAACGGCAAACGGCAAACGTGCAAGTTTTGACAAATACAAATGTGAATTGCGGACACTAAACGCGCAGCCCCGCATCCTGATTTTCCAAATAAAAGATGAAGACATCCCCAGGATTGACAGGCCAAGACGAGGACACGGGGGGCAAGAGAGGGCAGTGCCTGGGCCCCATAAAACTCATTGGGCCGTAAAGGATGCGAATGCCTTTTAATAATAAAATGAGCGTAGAGAACCACCAGTGGACAGGAGCAGGACTCGAGACGGGCCTGGGCTGCATAAACTAAAACTAAAGCCGCTTGTCTATGCCCAGGCACGTCTTAAATGTTCAAATTATGTAAAATAAAATGTGCGCCAAAAAAAAAGACAGAAAGGCTAAGGGAAAGGAAGGCTAGGCCAAAGGAGAGATAAAGGAGAGGGGCCCAGGACTCAGGACACGCTGACGTCAGCTCTGAGTGACAGTGACAAGAGGGCCACAAAGGAAGGGGGCGGTGAAGGATTCAACCAAGCACTCGACTATATCCCGGCAAGGTGCAAAAAAGCGAGCCAGGATTGACACTTCTTTGCTCATAAGTATCCAAGGATACACTTAGGATAAATGTTTTGCTTCAGGTAAGACTGAAAAATCTATATAAAGGCTTATTTAATTATATTTAAGATGCTTTAAAAAATATTTAAATACATTTTTTTGGCTTAAGAAATTAAATATTTAAGATTGATAAAGAAGATAACCACATTGTTTTTATAAAATACCACATTTATCTCCTCCCATGCATTTTCTCCAAGTGCATTTTCCCTGCTGGCCATTTGCATGCCCCGCCACCCCCGCTCATCGCTTTCTTTCCCAGGACCGTGGATCCTGCGTGTCCTGGCTAATAACCGTGAGTAAGCAAACAGGTGCAGCTCGCCCGCCGCTTGGCTGTGATCAATCTCTTTCGCTAAGCTTTTGTTTTCGCCGGGCTTTTGTCTCCGGACAAAAGTTGGTCCTCCTCGTTGATGGGGGAATACTTAGAAGTCCCCGGGATTGAGATGTCCTTTTGGGTCTAGTGACAGGCAAACAACGACGCGTCCTTTTTGTTGTGTCCGTCTCCGAGTCCGTCTCGCTCTCGTCCTATGATTGATTAGCAATTAATTAGCTACACAAATAACTGTAATTATATGCGAAGGGGAAAATGGAGTTGGGGGTGAATGTAAGGGACCTCTAATGTCAAGGGTCTCTCCCTGGCGGCGAGAATTACTTGCAAAAGTGTTCCACCTTTTTTTTTTCGCGGCCTCGCATCTCATTGTCTCATTTGCATTTTGTTTTTCGCCATTTTTTATGACCCAATGAAACGAATTTCTGTGCTCTAACTTTGTCACTTGCGGCTGCCATAGCCATAGCTTTTTATGAAATGAATCCCGGCTAATGACACCCCTGAACAGGGGGAGGGGAGAGTACTCTACTCTCCAGCATTCGTCACACGCAGCCAAGGAGGCCATAGATATCTCCAGCAGCGATTGGGTTACTATATTTTACTATATATTAAATAGCAACCCCGAGATGTTGGCAAAACAGAAGACATTGATTCTTAAAGCTAAGCTTTCTTTTTGGATTTTTTAAATTAAGAATGTTTGAAGTAAGAGAATATATAATTCCCCTGAATATTCCTTAGCTTAATTTTCAAGGCACATTAAAAATCTAGAAAATGTTCACCGAAAGATTCTTCCATTGTTTTAAACCTCCTCAATGGCCATCCTCTTCAGAGGCTGGGGCCAAAAGTTGTGAGCTGTCCCTGCAGTTGACATCCCGACCGTAACTTCTTTCTTCTTCCTTTTTTTGGCCGGCCAACAATGCATGACTGACCCTGTCAATACTGGCGACCCCGAATCCATTTAGTTGTTCCAACCATATATGAGATATTTAATGCATGCAATATGGATTGTCCCCAATGGCATGGCTGGTGGAGGGCATGGCTGGTGGAGGGCAAAAGTGCGTCCAAAACTCATGTCATTGTTTCGCCGAACTGGAACTGGGAACTGCATTTTTACCCCCTCGCCCTCAGCTGGGTGACATTGAGTGCTCCGACAGGCGACGTGTGCAGGACCTTTTGCCTGCGGCCGGCATCCTTTATGGCTGAAAGCTTTTGTCGCTGCCGTGCCACTAAACATGTCGCTTTCGGAAGCCCCTGGCGTAGGGCCAAAATATAACTTAAGTTTCTGGTCAAATGAATTTGGCAAAGGTAGCAGCCAGCTTGGGAAATTCGAATGCGTCGCCAGCGCCAGCGAGATTCGAATTTATGCAAAAATGCCAAAAGGAAAAATCTCTTGTTTTTGCTAGGAAGAAAAAGCTCCACCACAATTGGCAGTTTAAGTGGGCTTTGTTAAGAGCAAGTTTTCTTTTCTGCTTTTTTGTACTTTATTTTTGCGGTTTCTTTTACAGTTTTTGCTGTGTCACCTGTTTTTGGTGAAACACGAAACTTTTTTTTTACGATCTTGTCAACATTTTGAGTTGAGTGCATTTTTACGCCTCGCCTCTGGCGGCGCCTTGCGATTCCTGGGGTCTCCTGAGGGTGCGGGGACCGTAAAATCGAAAAGTAATGCAATAAAATTCGCTTTCATTAAAAGCATTAAAATAGGTTTTTGACATGCCATAAAAATTGTTTTCCACGTAAGCGAGGAAAACTGCTGCTGCCACACTTTTCCCCCTCGGCGAGAGTGCGAAAGCTTCGCGCGACTTCTAAATGGGAATTTTATTGTTCTGGGAGCTGTGGCCGCCGCATTGCCATTAGCCGCAACACGGCACTCCACATCTCACCTAGACGTAGTCGTAAACCATTTTTCCAGCTCATCTGAGGGCTCATCTCTGCCATTGGGAATCCCCTTTGGTGAAGCTGAGAATGAGCTGAAGAGTGGCAGTCTCTCCAGAGATTGCAGAACTCCTTTATCACCTTTTTTATATATAAGAGAAAAAATATTATTATTAAAGCGAATTCTGGCCACATTCATCCCAAATGTGAATCATAAATTCTATGAAAAATTTGATGACAAATCGAACAAATATATGCGTATTCATAGCAATTAAGTGCAGACTTTATAGGTACACCAATATCGAAAAACACACCCAACTCTTGGTATTTGTACACTGGAAAATTACCTTACAAGGCAGAGGATTTTAAAAAAATAGTTTTCTGAGATTAAAATGAATTAAAAATATAATTTAGAAAGTTTACATATTTATTTTATATTTTATATGATATTATAAACATTTTTTATTGAACTTTTTTGAGAGAAATCACTTAATTTTAAGAAAATTCTTGATCTTAGCTTAGTTTTCTAAGATTAAACTTATTTAAAATATATTTCAGAAAGCTTACATATTAATTCTATATTTTTTATTGAATTATTTTGTACGAAATAACTTAATTTTCTTATTTTTCTTGCTTAATTTCCAGCTTAGTTTCTCTCACTGCCTGGTCATGTTTTGGCCTGGACAATTGGCCAATGTTCGTCCGCTAAATGGGGGCGATACAAATCGAATGGGGATTTTATTTCAACGTTATTAACTTCAAATTACGCACACAGAGAGCCGCAGACAAGTCAATGTCCAATCCTTAATTGCAAAGGACAGCGTGTGGCGAAAATATTTTGCTCGCTAAACTGAGGGGAAAATATTTTTCATGATGTAATAAATGAAATTAATTTCAATAATTGCAGCAATTCGGCGGGTCGGGCCTATGAGAGATTTCTCTGTTGCCTTTTTCCTTCAGCTTTTATTTAGGCCACTTATTTTATTTTATCTCGGCCATGATTCGCGATGAGGCAGGCGACTGTGCGCGAACGTTTTGGCGATGACCATGAAAACTGCTTAATCGGAAGAATGAATATGAATGTTCCAATTGCGATTCCCCCGTATAAATAAACGAGGAGAGAAGCGAATAAATGTGGAAATCCAAATGTTTTCCTTTCCGTTTGTACGTACGTATACGTTCTTCTTTTTATTTCGTTCTATACCAATACTTTTTTTTTCTATCATTTACTTATTTTTGTTGTCTTTATTTTTTTTGCAGCAACAGCAGCATTTTTAATATAGCAAAACACACGCTGTCATATCCAGTCCCGCCCCCCCGTCTGACTTTTATGTGAAAATAGCCATAGAGAGCGAGTATATTTTCGCATTTATAATACAGAGCCATATATTTTCATGAACAGTAAATTAAGCAGAGCGAAATTGGGATTCCTTTGACAACGTTATATCAGGGGAGAAATGAGCATAAATACAAGCAGAAAAATTGAAACGATTGCGTAATATTTGCGGCAACTCGATTTATTTATTTAAGGGAGATGTATTAGTTCTATGAAACATTTACGTATTTATTTTTAAAATTTTCTTTATATTTTCATAAAATAAACTAACCAAGCAACACTCTTTTGACAACTCTAGACTTAGAAAACTAGAAAATCTATTTATTAATTTAAAAATTTCAAAACCATTTCCCATTAAATTGTAGAAATATGGATTATTTGTGTAGATTTCTTAGCGCCGATTTGTATTGTTTGCTAACCTCAATTCGTGGAAATTCTGGAGAAAATTCAAAAGAAAAGACTGTCAAGAATCGTGTTCTCAAGGAGACTGAAGATGACGTGGAGAATCACTTCCTGGTGGTACGTCCTAGCTATACGATCCGCCACAAGTATCCTGGTCCTTTGAGAACCTATGATGGCGAAGAGCGTTGTGAGCCGCGTTTGATACGGCTTTCGGATCTGAGCGGCAGCCAATTGGATTGGATACTGAATCAGTGCGAAGATCAGGACGAAATGAAACAGGAATGTGAGTCTGAAACCACTAAAGGAACCCAGAAGGAACCTGAAGAAACAGATCAGAAGCTCTGTAATGCCAAGAGAGAGGAATTTCTCAAAAATTTCGAGTCCCAGATCTTCTTGAATCTCCTGCCCACAGTAAAGAGTTCCCTCACACTGGACAGCATCTGGAGCGGAAATCTACCCACGCCAGAGCAACTAATCCGAGTGGAGCTACGTGCCAGGACTCTGTACGAGCTGTCCACTTGCCAGGAACCACATGCACCCACTTGGGACTCTCTGAAGTCCACGGAAAAGCTAAGTTTCCATTGGCAAGCCCATGCGGGAGTGAAGCTCCAGGAGACGCCCTTTGATAACTTTCAGGTGTGTTACCTCAGGAATTGCCGCAAGAATGTCACCAAAATGAATATTCGCCAAAACAGTTGCGAGATGAGACTTCGCTGGGACCACATGGATCGCAGCGAACGAATGCCCTTCTTTATACAGGCTCTACTGTACCAGGTGTCCGTGGGAGATATCGATCCCACGGATCAGTGTATGGTGCGTGAGTTCTTTCAGAAAGTGAAGTAGCAAAGAACGACGATCCATTTCCATTTGCATTTCCATTCCATTTTTTCGGTTTTATACGAACCAGATGTTGTTGTGGCCATTCTATTTTCGTCCAGAGCCTCGAAATTCGCAGCTCTTTCTCCCTCGATTTGTGCTCTTGAACCAGTTTCGGTTCTTCAGAGGAATAATGGATCCCCTGCTTTGGTCCAAGGCCGCCAATATGACATGGCATTGGCACTCGATTAACAATTAACTCGTCAGCAGTCAAGGTCGCGCAGAAAACACTCGGTGGGGGAGGGAGGGGAAATCCCCCCAATCAATTTCCCAGGCGCATACATTAGCCATAAAAATTTGTTGTACTCCGCAGAAACGAAACAAATAAAACAAACGAGAGGGAAAACTTTTTAAAATGTAATTTCGCTGGCCGGCAAAATAAATAAAACGGAATTGTGGCAAATCGAAAGTGAGGAGAGAGCCAGGAAATCAAAAGTCCGCATCAGATCGGCGAATCCAGGCATTATGCTAATGGAAATCACAGAGGGGGGAAAGTCCTGGTTTATGGCCGTTGACAACTTTTGGCGAGCCGGGCATAAAACGAAATGAAATGGAAAACTAAACCGAAGGAGGAAAACTCAAATGGCCAACGATTCGCCACGAACTCTAACTCAAAAGCGGAGCAGTGGAACTGTATCGAAGGAGTCGCAATTTATTGTCCCAGATATTGACTTTTATAGTGGCATTCCGCCATCCCTTTTCCGGACTCATAATGCGACATTTCGCTGGGAATCTCCTCGAGAATCGGGAAACAATTGGCATTCGGTGAATTTCGCATGCCTGCCACCAACAGTTCAAGTTCGGTTCAAGGGGGTTTTCCCTTCCGCCCAACCCTCAACTCTTTTTTTATGGACGACTGTTGTTGCGAAGATTTCGTTGTTTTGATATTCGGCAGTTTTATTGCCTCGACCCAAGTTCGCACCTCAATTTGTCTTCGTAAATGTGAAAAATGTGGAAATTAGTTGGCGGTCCGAGCGGCAGGCTGGCAGGCAGTCTCCCATTTTCGGTTGTTGGGTTTATGGCCAAACATTTCATCAATCACGCGGGGACGTGTCACACCTATCAGGACCGCTGACGCCCGGCTCAGATGCAGATCGTCGCGGAGGAAACCCCAATCGTAAAAAAAAGGAGTGCGATAGCCACGCCCCTTGTCTCCGGTTTGGTGTGAACTTAATGGCCGCGCCAGGAATCTGTGGCACACTTTCAGGCTCTTAAAAAGAAGAAGGACATTTGGCGTGGTCCTCATTATCAGATGCTGAGGTTTAGAAATTTCTTTAAAAAAAAATAAGGGAATAATTGGAGCTTGAAGTTTGTTATTTTAAATAAATTAAAAGTCAAAGAATTTATATGATTTAGAGATGAAGAACTTGCAGGAACTTTAATATTATTTTTACTTTGTTTAGGGAACAATTTCGTAGATTTTATTTACTTTAATATTATTTATATACTGAATAGTTAAACCCACTTCTTGCTCACATACAATCCAGGACTTCTCTAGTAAACCCTGATTTCTGATGGTTTCCTTCATAAATATAAGTATTACCCATTTTCCTCCCTGACTCGGACTCATCCATTTTTATGCAAAGTCGCAGGGCAAACACAGGAAAAGCGATGGACAAACAACATTTGTCGATATCCCAACTGATGGTGATGGCTTTATGACCAAAGAGAGAGAGAGCGACCCAATCAACCCCAATCTCCATTAACATAACAATAATTATGGCTGCCTCCTGGACTGACCATGTCCTGGAGACATGCGGCAACCATAGATGGCGATTCTGCAGTCATAAGCAGAATCCAGACATTCTGCATCCGGTTGAATTGATTTGGCTTCCACAATGCCACAATGAGTACTCGTAGTATTTCCTTTGAGGGTTGACTGGCTGGCCCCATGTAAATCGCCAGATTCCACATAATTAACTTCAATTGGAATCTGGGGCAGAGTGCCAAGGCGGCTACTGTTTTCCTTGTTACCAGGACTTGGCCTCCTGGGATCCTTGTTATTTTCGTAGCTGCAACGGAGCTCTCATTAGCCGTGGCGGACATAAATTTCGATCAAAAAATAAATTGACAGGCGTGCAGATTTAAGAGGCGCTTAGCCTTAGTCCTTGGTAGCGCCGGCAAATCCAATTTCCTTCTCGCCAGGACTCGCACGTACGGCTGCAACACTTTCGGCTAGCGGGGATTCCGGCTTGAGGATCCTGGAACCAGGATTCCGGATTCAGGACTCGTTACTCGACCGTTTATGTGAGCAGGTCATGTCGCGGTCATAAATACAACAATGCCGCTGATGCCGCCGCCAAAACTTTCGCGAGTGTCGCGAGCGCCATAAATTTTGCCCGCAAAAACTCACGGATTTATGTTTTTCGCGGAGCGCAGGAGAGATAGGACACACAGGACACTCGTCGTCGTCGTCGTGCCAGTCCCGAGGACATCCTCCAGATATAATCCACTTTAAAGTTTCCATTTCGCCGCAGCCTCGAAATGCTAAGCGAGGCTCGACTCGGTTCGGTTCGGTTTTCAGCCGCAGTCATGTGATAGGCGAAGGATATCCGCCAGGATATCTTGGCAGCCACATGCACTGCTCCACTCTGACACGACGACATCTTATCCAATTTGCATTTAACGCATTTCTTTCTTCTCTTTCTATTTTTTTTGGCCCAAAACCCTCATCCTTCCCGGGATGTAGACCTCTGCTTTTTTGGCAAATCCCATTTGCAGCGATTTGCATTTAAGGCTGTCCGTGAAATCGAGACGAGCTCACACAAAAATTAATAAAATCCTGCCATTTACCATTTTCATTTTCGCCGGGTCCTCCAACCGCAAGTAAAAATGTTCAATAAACGTCCGGCCTGAAACGAGAAGTTCGTTTACCGCAAACGCCTTGGCACATGAAGAAAATTGGAACAAAGAAGTATTTTAGGGACATAAAATAATATTTTTAAAGGATTTTTAATATGAAAAAAAATTTTAAACCTCTATAAGAATATTTTTATAATTATAATAATTATAATACGATTTAAGAAGAGCTTATTCTGGTTTTAAATAAATTAAAATGATGTTTAATATATTTTCTAAATATTTATCTTTCATAGAAAGTAATTTTTAAATATTTCCTTAATTCCATATCCTTAATTTTCTTCTGTGCCTTAGTCTAGGCGGACATCCTGGGGGTCCAGCAGTCAATTTGGAATTTTTCAACGTTTCAGACACTGCCACCGAATAGCTGGAAATAGGAGCAATAGGGGGATATAGGATATGGGTATATGGAGTATAGAATATGGGAGGATATATAGGAGCTGTGCAACGGCAGCTGACTTTGACAGCGCCGCCCGCTGGCTGTTAGTTACTCCTAGTTTGCGGTTCTGCTTTTCCAAAATATTGGCGGCCTGAGATGGCTCCAATTAAAAAACAGAAAAGCGACATGTGGGAAGAGCTCTTAAGTTAGCTTTTCGACTAAGAGGTACCCAAAAACTTTAGAGTTTAAATAAAAAAGAAATATTTAGTAATATAATTATTAATTTGTAATTTTTAAAATCTCCTTAAATTTGTTTTTATACAAAATAAAAGCAGTAAAGAAAATATCTATAAAAGATTTTGATACTTAAACTCAAAATTTGAAGTCTATATTAATTTAAAAAGTTGTATGAATTTCTTTAATAGCCTAATTCAGTTCTCTCTTTTTTACTGCAAATACCTAGCATTCAAGGCACTTGGCCAACAAGTTAGCTGGGCGTGGCTGCCGCCTTATATAGCTGCACTGTGCGAAAAAATAACCAGCAAATTGCCTGGGGCAGCTGCAACAAACCGGCCACAAGTGCGGGAGGAGGACGACGTGTCACTAGTTGGGAGGCGGAGACCTGTCCTGGCCGGGGCCAACTATTAATTAGGTTGTTAATTTTGCATTTGGCGAGCGTCGCTGGCTTTTCCCGTGAAAAGCGCACCGCTGCGCAGCGGAGCGGAGGCGACGAAATGGAGAACACACGTGGCATGTGGCACGATGATAAATCTCCGCATTTGTGCGACACCATAGGGGAACACATGTCGCAGCTTGGCCGCACTTCCCGTGTAATACCCCCCTCCAACGCTTTTCCTGCATTTTTCCACCCATTTCCCCACCGCGGATGCACCTGTCTCAATTAAGCGTGCAAATCGCATGCCTGTCAAAATAAAATGTTTGGCGTGTAAAAATATGTTGGCAGCCAGCGGAGATCTAAGGCGATCATAAAGATGCACGGAACATGGCCAACAACACGATGGGCGGAAAAGGTGGAGCAGGGCTACACGGAAAGGAAAGTGTTGTGGACAAATTGAGGTGAATTTAAAGGTATTTTATAGGGAAATAAATCTAAATAAATTTTCTTAGATAAACATCTTATTTATTAAGTTTAATTTATAAAGTTTTAAATTACTTTTTAATGCTTTAATATATTTTAAAGGGATATTTCTCTTGTATATTTTTTTTTACGTGTTGAATATGCAATCAGAAATGGGAATGGTACACACCCAGAAGATGTCGGTGTCAACATCGCTTTGATCGTCCCTCAGGTTGATTATTTGCACAGCATTTGCGACTTGTTTTCTTGCCTAAAAGAATGCATCTCTAATGAGGTTCATGCGTGGTAAAAATATGTGATAATTGAGTAAGGGGTTGGGGATATAAAAACTGAATAGCAGGGCTCTAGGAAAATGTCAGAAATATGCATACTGAACATTACTAAAAAATGCAATCTCAACTTTGTTTTCAAAGGGAATTTTCTTCAATATTTTATTTATACTTTGAAGGCCTTACGAATAAAAATATTTAAAATTAATATAAATAGAAAATCATTAAGATTATTTCAGTTGTGACTTCATTTCATCATCAGCCTTGTCTGCCATTCACATTGACAGTGTTTTCTTGGTGAAGTTTTGATGGATTCCGTTTGAACAGATTAAGCAACAGCCTTCATGAGATGTCGCCTCAATTCAAATTGATTTTTTTTTTCGGTAAATAATTCCGTCGAAACGGGGCATCAACGCCTCGTTAATTAGAGGATGCCCCGTCGAGTGGTGAATCTCTGAATACGAAAGCTAAATAGCCGTGACAGTCGGCAGGGCAATTGACATTTTGATAAATTCTGAAGGAGGAGGAGGTGGAGACACTGCGGCACTACACATGTTCTGTTCCCGTCTTTAAATCAGATAGACGCAGTGCAAAACTTAATGATCTGTGCCTAAATGGAGAGAGAGCTAGAGATATGACAAGTAAAAAAGAATTTATGGCACTAAACAACATCAACAAAAGGCAGAAACTACATGGAGTTAGCAACAACCACCCCGTATCGCGTTTCCTCCTTCTCTGGAAAATTTTATCGGCCTCAACGAGCGACAGAGAAATTCGCACAAATCACGCAAAAATGCTGCACACTTAACGTGAGGGTGAAAAAGCCAGGGGGGAAAATGGCAGGAGGGTTTTTCCCCGATTTCGGGGTGACAAGGGTGAGCCCAGAAACTGATAAGAACTTGCAGCCTAATGCAGCCATGGAACTCCTCCTCAAAATGCCACCGAATTTTGCAACAATTTCCGATTTCCACCAAAGGACAAAGGACGCACTGGCCAAGTGGCAGCATTTCAATTGCTACCCGAAATGGAAAAAAAAAGAAGGAAAACAGTCGACATTCGAATTGAAAAGTCATAAATTTTGGAGCGGCATTTAGGAGCGGACGGGCACGGAAATGCGCACCATGCGTGACCAATTATTGAAATACGACTTTAATTGAATTTCAATAAAATGTTGAGCATTTTTGCATTTGCAGCGGAAGGAGGAAGGATGCCAGGACCAGGACTAGGACCAGGACCACCGGCTCATGTTTATTTATGGCAAATGCAAAACGTTAAAACTGTGGCAATTGTTTTATTCCGCGCTTTGTTACATTATTTGCCGGGGCATTTGGAGCGTCACGGATGCGATCCCATCGTTATACATATTTCTATGCATCCATATAGTATGTAGTCCCGGGCGATTTGGGGGCAATTTGTTTAGAATATGGCAACCAGGCGTGTGTATGCGAACCTGATGTCCGCGGATCTGGGATCCCACTGATTTATGGCCAGCGGGTTGTGTCAATAGTTCGCGGCTGATTTATGTTCTAGCACAGGGCAAGGTAGCTCCGCTTCAGGAGTTTGTCCATGGAAAAAGGAAATTATGAAAATTACTATCATGTTTTGGGGGAAAATCCCTCAAATGGACATAAAGGGCAGCCAACTGTAAAATGTCAAAATGTTGTACCAGACAAGCTGAGCATTTTTGTGATGATTACTTCTTATGAATACACTTTGAAAATAAATTACAAGCTTTGAGATGCATTTGCACTTTTACAGAGTTTTCCCAGAACAATATCAGGATTCGTTCTATTTTCCCAGTGCAAAGCAAACTCATTGAACGGATTACAAGAGAACACAGGAATCAATCAGGAAGTTGGAGGTGGAGATCCGTTGATTGAAGGTGGAAAGCCGCTGGGCCATGTTTTTGGGGTGGAATTGTGTGGAAAACCTTTGCATTCGGATTGGATTTGGGCAAGGGTTCGTCGTCGTCGTCATCGTCGTTGACTGTCGGCTGCTGGCTTCTCGGGTGTCGATTTTCGTGAATGGTAAATGGTATGTATTGTACGTACTATATTTGACATTGGATCGGATCGGCGCATGACAAAAGTCACATGGCAAGCAGCGGATTAGTTACACCTTCTGAATTCGAATCCGAATCCGAGCACACGTCGTGAAAGGTTTTTATGTTTTTTTCCCTGCTGCTGTTGTTTTGCCAGTGGCTGAAACGCGACATTGTTGCTGCCCGGTGAACTGTGAGCTCACCGGAATCCTGAATGCATTTTCCGGTCGGCGAGTGCAGAGCGTGCCTTGATTTACTAGCGATTGTGCGGAGATTAGCACTAATGGCTGAGGCCAGTCCTGGGGCAGCTGTTTCCTCGCGGGCAGAAGGGTGGATTGGGATTGAGATTGGTACTGCTTGTGGGCTTGGAAAACTGAAACCTTTCAGCATAATTGAATTTGGCCATAGCCCCGGGACATTCACCTACTTAAGCCCAAAAAATGGCCCTGATAACTAAGCCAAATATTAGCCAAAGACAAATGCCATGTGTGTCAACAGTTCATCGAGGCGTCAATTACTTTGCATAACATTGGGCGAAGCTGTGCGCTAGTTGAGTCGTCCTCCTCCAGAGACAACAAATGAATTTTAAGTGTGGCCAAAAGAAACGGCCAAGAAACGTGTGCGTGCGACTTAATCTGCTCTTGGCCCGCTTAGCGAACGCATCTGAAATCCTCCTCATATATGTGTGTTTTTAGCGAGCACTAGGCCTTCCAGATATTATCCGCTTATTTATGGCCGTCGTTAACATATCTTAGCCAACTGGAGTTTATCTGGCGGCGGCTTCTGCTGCTATATGCCATGAGTTTTTCTCCAAGATCCCAGGACCCAGATCCCATATCCACGAGCCCAGATCCCCAGTTAAATGAGCCTTCGGCTAAGTGAAATTGTTTAGTTTTTGCACGATTCCCACACGAAAGTGAAAGTGGCTTTTGTCTCAAGCTAAGTACGTGACGATTTGTATTATTTTAAGCGAATTAAAAGCGGCCTCCAAGTAATTTGTGGCCCGGCCAGATGAGTCAGACACTACCCCGTTCTGTAATAGAGTTCGCCAGGATAAATGCCAGGGCATTAGGCCAGGCCCAAGGATATTTAGAAACCCATTTTCACATCAGGACACACACAAAGCCATAGGCAATCTGCCAATCTGAATGCCATCGTCCCCGGGCCGGCCCCGAAAGATAATGATTAATTGTCAATTTAGGTGGGACAACAGCCTGGCCCATTCGGTATCCGGAATGGCCAATAAACGGTTCGCCCGGCAGTTACCTTAAAAGCAAGCAACAACTCCCGGAATCCTGTTTGGATACCAACCTACTCGCCCACTCACTCACAGGATGCCCGGGCTCTCACATGTCCATCAACATGAAGATGCGGTTGCTGGAGTGGAGTTCCCACTCGGGCCGACTGACGACTGGCCTGACATGTGGAAATAAATGTACTAGAAAATTACCAACTTATGTAATCTTGGTTAGCATCATTTATCAAGCGGACGTTTTGCAATTTTTCTTACTTCTGCGGCCAGGACGAGAGCCAGAATCCGACCGGGACATGTCGAGAAGTCGGACTCAGACGCACACACACACAAATGTGTGCGGACTCAGTCACAGTCACAGGAAATTGCCATTTCTCAGTCTCCTTTGGAGCAGGGGTAGCTAAATTTGTCATACCTTTGAAGGAGTAGAGCCCCGCCCGGCTAATTGAAAGAAGTAGTCCTTGACTTTGGTTTTCCTTGGAATTCCTTCCACCTGAAACTCCAGCAACTTAGGGGTTACATTTACATCCTACAATTACAATTTAATGTAGGCCTGGAGCCAGTTGTCTCTGAACCTTGTTTGACAGTTATGACATCTAAATTTCCCCGTATATTGAGCTACGATAGCGATCATTGCCGGAAACAGAATAATCATTGCCCTTCACAGTCGCCAGCTATTGTGGGGCGTTGGCGCTGGCGCCGAAAAATGCGCGATTGGCCGGCGATCGGACGGATGTTATGAGCCAGCCGAATAAGTCGCAGAGCGCCTTCAACCCCAATGAGGACTACAGCACGACCTTGCAGAATATGACCCGTGAGTTCGAAGAGCGCTGGAACCAACCGACACCATCGCCCAGTAGCAACCTCCAGAACTACGAGCAGAGGGGCGTCCTTGGACACGGCAGCTTCGGCACTGTGGTGAGTTCGTGAGGATATGTTTCTTAATAGACTTCCCCCTGAAATCCTTTAATATCTTAGCTTCTGGTCAAAGAGAAAAAGGGGAAAAACTACTTTGCCGCCAAAATGATGAGCAAGGATTTGCTGGTTGCGCACAAACAGGTTCAGCATGTCCACAACGAGAAACATGTGCTGAGTGCCACCCGATTCCCCTTCCTCATTCACCTGGTGGACTCGTCGAAGGACAATGACTATCTCTACTTGATTCTGCCGGTCGTCAGCGGCGGTGAGCTTTTCACCTACCTTCGCAGGTGAGTGGCCGTTCTACCGATTACTTCGAATGTCCTGACTGAATTCTCACCCGAGTCTCTCCAAGGGTGCGCAAGTTTAACGAGAAACAGGCGCGCTTTTATGGCGCCCAGGTGGTGCTGGCTTTAGAGTACTTGCATCAGATGCACCTCATTTACCGCGACCTGAAGCCCGAGAACATCCTGCTGGACATGCGCGGTTACATTAAGCTCACGGACTTTGGATTTGCAAAGGTGAGAAGAGGACTTGTAATGTGTTCCATGTTAATTTGAATTTAAAATTCTTGTTAACGATTGATTTACTAGTAAACTAATAAGTATTTTGTTTCGAATTAAAGCGCGTGGATGGTCGGACGTCTACCCTGTGCGGAACTCCGGAATACTTGGCGCCGGAGATCGTGCAGCTGCGGCCGTACAACAAGTCGGTAGACTGGTGGGCCCTTGGCATCCTCATCTATGAGTTTGTGGCAGGTCATTCGCCCTTCTCCGACTATAGCCACGATGTTCTTTTGATGTACAACAGGATATGCAACAAGGACTACAAGATGCCCCACTTTTTCACCAACATGCTGAAGAGCCTTGTGGATGACTTCTTGCAGGTGGAATTCTCGAGGCGGTGAGAATTCGATTTGGGTTGGATGACGGGCAACGCCAGTTTCTCATGTCGTCCCTTCTTAGTTTAGGAAACTCTAACGAAGGCGCCATCGATGTGAAGACTCATCCCTGGTTCCAGGGCATCGAATGGTTTGCGATGCTTAATCAGGAGGTTCCACCGCCGTACAAGCCGACTATCAGCGGAGATGAGGACCTTTCCAACTTCCAGAACTTCCGTATGGAGGAGAAACTGAAGTCCAAAAATAATCGGCATCCCGAACTGTTTGCTAAATTTTAGGTTTTAATTTCTGAGCTACCTTATTCATCATTTATTAAGAATGTATTTTTTACAATTTATTGTACTATTGTTGTACACTAAAAAATGAAAATAAGTATTAATTGAGATGAACCGAGAACAACTTTTGCGTCTTATGTCAGTTACTAACAAACTGCGTTTAGAGCTTCAGAAATTCAAAATTTGGTGTAAAGAAAATTTAAGTCAAAATGGTTAAACGTGTGGAACATCCGCGTTCGCAAGACCAAATGTACTTCAGTCCAAAGTTGGACTACAACAATATCCTCGACAAGTTGAGCGACGAGTTTTATAAGTTGTACTCGTCCAACGAATCCTCGCCGTCCCACGGACTGGAAGACTACGATATTAAGGCCACTCTGGGAGTTGGGTCCTTCGGCAAGGTACAGCTCGTAAGGGAGAAGAGCTCCGGCGTCTACTTCGCTGCCAAGGAGCTCAACAAGGATGAGATTGTCAAGAACAAGCAGGTGATCCATGTGATGAGCGAGAAAATGGTGCTGCGCTCAATGCTGTTTCCCAACGTTGTGCATCTTGTGGCCTCCTACAAGGACTTTGACAGTCTATACCTTGTTCTTCCCCTGATTGGAGGTGGCGAGCTCTTCACCTACCATCGAAAGTGAGTATTCCACTTAATTTCCGATGGGATTTTAGATAGCATGAAAGGAATCATCTTGCCTACCTTGATTGGTGCTTCATTTTTGTAAAAATGAGGTTTGTAGACAGCCTGCTATTTGGTTATATCTGAAAGGCGACGGGGTATCTAGAAGTAGAGCACACACTAGGGCGGTTTTAACCATTATTTATTATTAGCCTGACAACTTAAATATATATTTTTTTAAGGGTACGCAAGTTCAATGAGAAGCAGGCTAAATTCTACGCGGCCCAAGTATTCTTGGCTCTGGAATACCTGCATCATTGCAGCTTGCTCTACCGAGATCTTAAGCCAGAGAACATAATGCTGGATAAGAACGGTTACCTTAAAGTGACCGACTTTGGATTTGCAAAGGTACTTTCTTAATCATAATATTGAGAAAGCATTATCTTAGAGTTCCCCTGAACCCCACAGAGGGTGGAAACCCGTACGATGACTCTCTGCGGAACTCCAGAGTATTTGCCGCCGGAGATCATTCAGTCTAAGCCCTATGGAAAAAGCGTAGACTGGTGGTCCTTCGGTGTGCTGGTCTACGAGTTTGTTGCCGGATTCACCCCCTTTGCCGTCCACAGTCGGGACGTGATGGTCATGTACACCAAGATCTGCGAGGGCGAGTACAAAATGCCCAACTTCTTCAGTGATGAATTGCGTCATCTAATATTCCATCTTCTTATGGTGGATCTCTCCAAGCGGTTAGAAAATGCATATTTATTTTCCAGTAGTCTATAGCCTCATTCTCTTAGCTACGGGAACCTGAGCAATGGCAATCGGGACATAAAGGAGCACGAGTGGTTCAAGGAGGTGGAGTGGATACCGATCCTCAACCAGACAGTAAATGCGCCTTATGTGCCCAACATCAGCAATCCAGAGGACATATCCAACTTCGACAAAATCAACGAAAAGCCGCGTCCAAAGTCCACGGTTATGCGTCACGAGGAGATGTTCAAGGATTTTTAATTGCCAGAAAGTTAAGGACTTAAATTTAATTTTTTTATGAAATTAGCTTAGGCCTTGAGCCAGCTGTCCCTGAATCTCAGGTTCTCTTACGGATGTCATGAAATTTCAAGTTACCTGTACATAGAGTTACAACAGCGATCATTTTCAGATCCATTACTCACATTTTCCATTCAGACTCGCCTGCCATCGGGAGGTGCTGGCGTTGGCGCCGTAAAATGCGCGATTGGCCGGTGATCGGACTGATGTTATGAGCGATCATAGTGGGCCAGAGATAGCTTTCAACCCCAAGGAGGACTACCTCACGACCCTGGAGCACATGAAAAGTGAATTTGACGAGCGGTGGAAAAATCAAAAGCAGTCGCCCTACTCAAACCTCGAAAACTATGTGTCACGGGCCGTCCTCGGCCACGGTAGTTTCGGCACTGTGGTAAGTTTGAGACTTTTTCGCTAACCTAACATAAACTTTAGTGTTCAGATCCTTAAAAAATTATAGCTACTGGTCAAGGAGAAAAAGGGGTCCAATTTCTATGCCGCCAAGATGATGAGCAAGGAGGATCTGGTGCGGCTCAAGCAGGTTCAACATGTTCACAACGAGAAACATGTCCTGAGTGCCGCCCGATTCCCCTTCCTCATCCACCTGGTGGATTCGACGAAGGACTTTGACTATCTCTACCTGATCCTGCCGGTCGTCAACGGCGGCGAGCTTTTCGTCTACCTCCGCAAGTGAGTATTGGCGAGTGTTCCGATTGAATCTTGATTGAGTCTCCTCAAGGGTGCGGAAGTTAAACGAGAAGCAGGCCCGCTTCTATGGCGCCCAGGTGGCTCTGGCTTTAGAGTACATGCACCAGATGCACCTCATGTATCGTGACCTGAAGCCCGAGAACATACTGCTGGACATGCGCGGCTACATCAAGCTCACGGATTTTGGATTTGCAAAGGTGAGAGTGGGACTCCAACTTAACTACTTAATTTATTATTATTTGATTTCTTATTAAAGCGCGTGGAGAGTCGAACCTCCACCTTGTGCGGAACCCCGGAATACTTGGCGCCGGAGATCGTGCAGCTGCGGCCGTACACCAAGTCGGTGGACTGGTGGGCTTTCGGCATCCTCATCTACGAGTTCGTGGCGGGGCGGTCGCCCTTCGCCGGCAACACCTACGATGTGCTTCTCATGTACTCCAAGATATGTTCCCTCGACTACGTGATGCCTGATTTTTTTAGTGCTCACCTAAAGAACCTTGTGGAAAGCTTTTTGCAGGTGGATACTTCGAAGCGGTGAGTATGGGTTACGGGCGGTGCCAGTTGCTCATGTCGTCCCTTCTTAGTTTAGGAAACTCTAACGAAGGTGCCATTGATGTGAAGAGTCATCCCTGGTTTCAGGGCATCGAATGGTACGCCATGCTCAATCAGCAGATTCCAGCGCCGTATTTGCCACCTGTCAGCTCAGACGACGACTTCTCCCATTTCGAGTCCAACAAGGTTAAACAGCGGTTGAATTCTCCAATAAACAGGCATCCCGAGTTGTTTGAAAACTTTTAAATATTTGTCAGTGGAAATAGTCATCCACATCCGTGTCAAAATAAAATGTATTTATATTTGTTTTTATTATATTTAATATATATTTTTTTTGCGGAAAGGAAAAGGGAATAAATATGTATACCTCTAATCAATTAATTTTATAAATGAAATGTAACTATAATAGTCGCCTGATTATATTATATTTCGGGTTATTTTATGATGGCACACAGGTCGGACGATGTTTCCGAGAGAAAAACAGCTATTAAACTTACAGCGAGAGCGGTTTATAAAGGACCCGAGGGCAACCTGAATTTTGCGGAGACGAGTAATTTTTGAGGGAGTAATCCGGAAAGATTTAAATATATCAAAGAATAAAAACTTTAAAATAAAGCCTTTTATTTAAATTTATAAATAAGGCAGTCTTTGCGATTTTAATCATTTGCCAAGTGTCTGAGTTTCTATATTTCTATAATATAATTTAACCACAAATGAAAAAATTCGAAATTTATCGTATAATTTTAATTATTAACCGTAACCAGTAAGCCCAAGAGCCATAAAGGGTCAAAATGGTTATACAACAGGAACAACCGACGATGCACTTCAGTCCGAAGGTGGACTATATCCTAATTCTGGACAAGTTGCGCGAGGAGTTCAACAAGAAGTACTCGATCAACACGCCCTCGCCCTCCAACGGACTGGATGACTACGAAATTAAGGCCACTCTAGGAGCTGGCTCCTTCGGCAAGGTGCAGCTGGTGAAGGAGAGGGAGTCTGGAGTCTACTATGCCTCCAAACAGCTAAGCAAGGATCAGATCGTAAAGACCAAGCAGGTGGGCCATGTGATGAGCGAGAAGAATGTGCTGCGCTCAATGATGTTTCCCAATACAGTGAACCTAATTACCTCCCACAAGGACTACGACAGTTTGTACCTTGTTCTTCCGCTGATTGGAGGTGGCGAGCTCTTCACCTACCATCGAAAGTGAGTATTATTAAAAATATGAATATTTAAAAAGGTTCCGTTTCTATTTTCTCATTTAGAGTGCGCAAGTTTACTGAGAAACAGGCTCGATTCTACGCTGCCCAAGTATTCTTGGCTTTGGAATACCTGCATCATTGCAGCTTGCTCTACCGAGATCTCAAGCCAGAGAACATAATGCTGGATAAGAACGGTTACCTTAAAGTAACCGACTTTGGATTTGCCAAGGTACTTACTTGATTATATAATTAGCTAAATTTGTTTTTGAAATTTCCAACGAACATCATAGAAGGTGGAAACCCGTACGATGACTCTCTGCGGAACTCCAGAGTATTTGCCGCCGGAGATTATTCAGTCTAAGCCCTATGGAACCAGCGTAGACTGGTGGGCCTTCGGTGTGCTGGTCTACGAGTTTGTGGCCGGACACTCGCCCTTTTCCGCCCACAATCGGGATGTGATGAGCATGTACAACAAGATCTGCGAGGCCGACTACAAAATGCCCAGCTACTTCAGCGGAGCATTGCGTCATCTAATAGATCATCTACTCCAAGTAGATCTCTCTAAGCGGTGAGAACAGGCATATTTATTTTCCAGTAGTCAATACATTTTATTCTTTTAGCTTCGGCAACCTTATCAACGGCAATCGGGACATCAAGGAGCACGAGTGGTTCAAGGAGGTGGAATGGATACCGATCCTCAACCAGACAGTAAATGCGCCTTATGTGCCCAACATCAGCAATCCAGAGGACATATCCAACTTTGACAAGGTTTCCGAGAAGCCGCGTCCAAAGGCCAAGACTATGCGTCATGAGGAGGCCTTTGCGGATTTCTAGCTGTGACCTGTGACCCGTGTTTTAGCAACTTTGTTTTAGTGATCGACCCAGTGACTGTGTTGTCTTTGTTTTTGCATTATAAAGCGAAACACTTGATTCGGCTCGACTAGATCCACATTGTTCTCCATTGTGCGACAGCTGCTGCTCACATGTGTGGTGTCAACGGCTCTCGAGTTTTCCTGAAGGGGAGACTTTTCGGGGAAAACAGCTGGCGCCGCTGACTTTGTGATTTCCCACACTTGTTGAGCTATTTTCCCCACAAATTTTCAATTCGACAAAACTTGACTTGTAATTAGACTCGAGGCAGTGCCATAAATCTTGTACGTTTGTCGCTGATGCAACTGGATGGATTTATGGCCACTTTGTTTATTTATCTGTCGAGAGAGTGGGTGTAGCTTTCCTTTTCTTCGCTTTCCGTTCTCTGTTATCCATTCTCCGAAAGAGTTCGCTTAGCTTCGCCTTCATCTCGAAACTTTTGCACGAAATTATGTTAAACAATATTTAAGCGAGACGGCATGGGGGCCCATAAATCTTTTATACCTTTTTCTGCTCTTCTGCATATCGGGCCACATTGATTTATATGCAAAGACTTAATAAAAATAGAGCAACGGCCAGACGACAGAAAAAAAACTAGACGCCAGTCCTGTCCAAGGTCCAAGACGGCGAATACCTTGCCCGGGCTCTCCGGTCTCTGGTCCTTTGTCCAGTGGCTAACAAAACAAACGGGCAGGAACCCATCGAGGGCAGAGGAGGAACCCATCGTGGGGCAAAAAGTTATGATTATCATAATTTTTGTTACGTGAGTTTTCATGTGGAAAAGATGAAACATCATCGTCTCCGTCGCAGTCTGCCCTCCAAGCAGCCTTCCTTGGCCTCGCCTTCCTTTTTGGGGTGGAAGTCGTCATCGCTGTAATCATGGCACGCATTTACTCCTGTTTTTACCTCTGCTTTTTGGCGCCCGCCAGGCCGGCGCCACTTTCAGCTCCAGACCTCGAGAATCTAAGGATACCCCCCTATGCCCCTGCTGGGTGTGCGAACTCCAGACACATTTTCTCCGTGTTGTGTGTTTTGCTTTTCGCAATGCGTTTTCGGTGGTTTTCGCTCCGCAGGAAACAAGGGGCTCGCACTTCCTGGCCAGACTGCGAGATAGAGACATTCTCGGAGGCAAGACATCGTGCATTCTAATGAGAGTTTTAATTGCAGCCCATTGACCACTTGAAGAGTCCTGTCAGCCTTCGTTCCGGCGCAGCTCGCAGGGGACACGTGGCGGATGCGCCTCACGCTTGAGTGGCCTGAGAATCGATGAATCCGAATTGTGGAATCACAGAACCCAAAACCTGAATACAACCCCCTTCCCGGGGACTTAACCCAATGACAAATTTGCAGCGCGGCGGAGGAAATTAGCGATGCCCTCCGTCAGATACATTTCACATTACGGACGGACAATTGAATCCCTGGCTCTGGGGGTTGGCCTGTCCCGTGCTCATCTGTAAGCGAATTAATTGCTGTTTTGATTGCGCTGGGAAAACGTTTTTCCTTCCATCCATCGTTTGTCGTTTGGTTTTGTGAAAATGAATTGTGCACGTTTATTGCATGGATCGGTGAAAATTCGTTACGTTAACTTATAGACTAAGACGGCGGATGCTCTGAGCAGCCTACGACTGTTCCAGCTCCACCTCAACGGAGACGGATGACGACGGCAGGTCTTCCTTGAACTCGGGCGTGTAGATCTTGCCGGAGGCCAGGACAAACTGCTCCTCGCAGTCCACGATGAAGTAGGCGAATGGCCGGTTCACCTCGAAGCGTTCCACGCCGGGTTGCTCTGGCTCAGGCTCTGGAACAGGCAGTACCGTGGATTCCGCGTCCTCTGCCGCCGAAGGAGAGCGAGCCTGCATGGTGGCCGCGGACAGGGAATTGGCACTGCTGCCTCCCTCGTCCACGCGCACATTCACAAACTGCACAATCTCGTCGACATGGACATCTGGATCCTCGGACAGTAGACCCAGCTGGGCCTCGGTCCGCGAGAAGACCTTGTTCAGACCCATTTGCTTGAGCATTGCCTCGGAGCGCGAGGTCTCCTCCACTTGGAACTTAGGCAGCGACACATGCAGCTCCTTCTGCTGGAAAAGCTTGTGGGCCAGCAGGAAGTCACTGATTTGCAGTTGGCCAATCACCTCGCTAAGTCCCTCGGTCTCATCGGGCAGCACAATGCACAGGGAGTAGCGGGAAGTCTCATAAGGCAGACTCAGCACGCGGGCTTTGAGCTGCGGCAGCTCGGCCACCTGGAATTTGCCGCGGGCATGCATCATGGGTGCCTTCATGGCATCCTCGTTGGTCATGAAGAAGAACTCGTCGCTGCCGTCCCTCAACTGGTAGAAGGGATTCGCCCAGCTGCCGCGGTAGTACAGGCCGTTGAAGAGCAGCATTTTGGATTTGGAGCCCACGGAGCGACCGGTGATGGAGTTGGCACTCAGGGCAGAGGTGATGTCATCCTTGCGGAACAGGCTACGGGCACCATAGACCTGAGGGGATTTTTAATAAAGATTAGAAAAGTTGCTCTTACTTAAAAATTAAAGCAAAAGTTTATAGAATATAGTATATCTCACTAATTGTATTATAATTATTATTTACTTCAACTTTAATTATAAACTCACCCGACTAACAGCCGATAGATGGGACTCCAAAGCCAGCATAATCTCATCGGCTCCATCCTTGGCCACCGCCTTGACCGCACTCTCCAGCTTCTGGAGGGGCAGACGCACCTTTTCGGGTTCACTGGCGGTCACTGCTGGCGCCGCCATGATCTTGGCCAGTTTCTCCTCCTCCTGCACCGTCTCGTTCTCCTCCAGATTCTTGATTTGACTCTCCTCCTGGTCGCTGCGCTTGTTCTGTTGCTTCTCCGATGGATTTTCCTCGGCAGCCATGTCTGGTTTTTCCTGTTTTTCCACCAAACTATTGATTATGTTCGTCGTGGCCTCGGGCTGGGATTCCAATTCTAGATTCGTTTCGGTGGTCTCCGACTGCTGCTGCTGTTCTCTTTGGAGCTGCTCGGCCTCAGCCTGGGCAACTGGTTTTTCCACATACTGCTTGTCGTCGATATCGCGATCGAACTTGGAGGCCTCTTTGTCCAGAATTTCCTGGCCATAGCCATCGGCCAGCGGCACAGCCGGCGTGTCCTCTTCGTCCAAGTTGATCCTCTTGAGGGTCTCGAAGCCAATCACATCCTTGCTGTTGCTGGGCTCAGTGCTGCCCTCGGTGGATTCCGCACTGCCCTCCGGGAGCTGCAGGGAGGTGTTGGGCTCATTCCAATCGTACTCCTGCCGGTTGATGTCCTTCACGTCCACGTAGTAGTGCTGCTGCAAGAGATTCTTGAACTCCTCGCGGGCACTGTGGTTTCGGTAGATGTACAGCCAGGTCTGGAACGAGGGCAGGGCCACGGCGGCATCCCTGTTCTGGTAGCTGCCCAGGATGCGCTTGTAGGTGTCCCTCAGCTGGTCACGATCCTGGGGATAACCGAAGACCTGCTGGAACTCGGCGTAGGTGTCGCCTTCGGAGGCCTCAGCCAGGACAGCCAAGATAGAGGCAACTCCCAGCGGTGAGTGAACTTGGTTGGCGTCAATGTCCTTGTTGAACTTCAGCAGCTGCAGGGCAATCAGCTGCGAGACTCTTCCAGCAAAGGAGGCGGCAGAGGAGGAGTCCTCCTTCACCTGACTGGTGGTGGGCAGTCCCTGGCCCAGGCTGACCAGCAGCGTAACGAAAAGCGCACAGATAACCGATTTCATGGTGACGAGCGCGCGAATGGAGCGCGAATGAAGCCCAAGAAAGTTGGCCAAAGACTTTTTATGAAAGCGCCGGGCCAAGAACCGGCGAGAACGAGGCTCCAAACTGGTTGGGAGTACAACCTGGCCAGCGGGCGGAGCTTGAAGGGGGGCTTTATTTGATCAAGAGACTCGAGCGATCGATCGATCGGCAATCGGCGATCGGTGGACAAAGAAAGTCAACGAAAGTGGAAGTGGCGTGGGCCGCTCTCGAGGGCTCCGCAAATGGGTCAAGCAAACAATCAATATGTAAATGTAAATGTGTAAAATGCTACACAGGCAGCCGGCGAGCAAACAAAAGTTCAAAGTCATTGAAATGTTAGAGAGCCGGACAACAGGTTTCCACTACGTGATTGACATTAGATTTTTTTCTGTCCGGTTAATTGCATTTTCTTGTAGTTACCTTTACTGATATTATAACCATGGTGTGGCAATCGTTTCCCCGAACCAAGATTTAAGCTTGGAAACGGGAAACCCCTCCTCTTCCTAGATTTGGCAATCTTTAGAGCGTTTGGAGCTACTACCTGACCAGGCTTAACCCAGTTTCCAAGCGTATCAGAACTAGAGCCATCATCAAAACCTGGCCAAAACACTTCCAACACACTTCGAGGCCACTGAACTTGGTCATCGTAGTTGCTGCCGCTGCCGTTGATTACCAAATATGTGCGGCGGGCGAAAGCGGCCAGAATCGAGAATATAAAGAGAGAGAAGCAAGTACCGAAGAGAAGCTGAACACTGAGAAAAATTGGGGGAATGAGTATAATAGTAATAAAAACGAAAGGAAATATATATAAAAGCCATTTAATGAATTTGCTTAATAATTTATAATTTAAAATACTAAATTCTTTTGCTTTAAGCTTACTGAAACTGTATCAAAGTGGTAAACTAATGCAACATTCCTTTGGTTTTCATTAACTTTTTTATTGTTTAACAATAAGTTATCATTCAGAATGTCTTTAAACTGCAAATTTTATATTTAATGTTCTATAATATGTAGTATATATAGTATATATTATAGTTTACTATAGTATACTATAGTATTCATCTAATAAATATTTATTTGCCATAAAGCGCGTGGTTGCATATCCGATTAAGACAAAAGAACAACTTGCCTTAACTAATGTCTAGTCGCATATATAATTAACTCCAAGTCACAACTCGTTTTTTAAACACTAAACTATTTGTCTAGAATTATTAATTGGGTTCCTGCTTCCTCGCGGTGTATCTGGAAGTACCAGGTGTGACGCTTATTCTTGCTAATAAAAAGCTCTAAATTTAAACACACAGAACTGAGAAACGCTGATTCTTTTCGGAGGCTTGTAAACGAGTTTTTCCGTTTTCAGACAAAAAAAAAGTTGCACAATTGCATAAGTGCCTGAGGTGGGCTCCAGGGGGGTGTGGGGTTATGGCCATATCTATAGTTAAGACGCCAGTGCAGCGAACTTTCCAGAGAGCCACAAAGAACCAAAGGAGAGAAAAATAATACTGAGCCGCTCAGCTTATGTAATTTATTCGACAAGTTCCGCATTTTGTTCTCGATACTCTCCAAGGAAGAAAGGTTACTGAACTGCCTGATTAATCGACGGAGTTGGTGGTAAAAGCCAGTTTAATTAGCATCGAACGGTTTTTGTTCGAGATTTATATAGCTTATATATGTGTCACTTTACGGGGTTTGATTAAGTTTATTTTTAAGCACAGTCAATCAATGATTTTTAAGATGTTTCCTTTGTTTGAGAACGGGGTAAGGTTTTCATTATATGTTTGTATTTTTAAATGGATTTTTTAAAAGCTTAGAGAAGGAAAAATATGCGTAAGAACAGATACATATATATATACATCAAGATCTTCAAATATCCAATAACATTTTCCTTAAAGTTATATTTATTTCAGAGCATTTAAATGGCGACCCTTAACATCAAAAAACCTTTTTTCATTCAGTGGTTTGTCACCTTGGGCCTGGCCGTTTTAGTTTTGAAACAAATACAACTTGTATTTCGTATTTTTGTTCAGCTTTTTGTCCATAAATTTCAATACCCAAAACCATAAATTAGTGCCTGGCCAAGTGGTGAGTGGCTGCGAGTGGTTCTACTTCAACTTGGACTTGGATTTGTACCCCCAAAAAAAGGGTCGAGTCCGGGTTAGGTGAATTAGAAGTTATTATGGCAAAACGGGAAACTAGCAAATGTCGCATAAATTAGAGAAGGAATCTCCGGCAGGACACCTTCCCCGGATTTCTGGCAGCCGGGGATAGTTGTAAGACGAGGCTCAAACAACACCGCGGGGAGACATTAAGAACCAAATAAGAAGAACCCTGCCAGTGGACAGTAGTAGTTTTTGGCCTGGGAAATTACTCTTTATAGACGGCGTGACTAATTGTTTGATTTATGCAAATGTGTGTGCTGGAAAACTTGTATTTCATATGCTTTCAACTTTTTGGCAATTAGTTGGGGGAGCGGAAAATCTTTAAGAAAGTGCCAGTATCTTTAGCTTTAAGATTTGCGGAATCCTTTCTGATATCTCTCTATTTGTCAGGAGGTGAGCTGTCATGTGTCAGCTGTCATGGAGCACGCAATACATCATAAGTCAAAAGGTGAGCCCTCGGCTCAATCGCCTTTTGCCCCGAGGCCACGGCAACTTGCAAAATAATTAAACTTCTGTTTATTCTCTCTCTCTCTCTTTGGCTCAGAGAACTTCTTAATTATGTTTGATAAACTAACACAGGACTCCTGCTCAACGTCCCAGTCGCATCGCCCCTTGTGCTCACACATGTCACGTTGACATTTGGCACTCGACAGGACTCGAGGTGATGGATCTTCCCCAGTGCCTTTAGCGGCCATGTGTGTGACATAATTACAGAACAAAAGGCTCAGGGGAGCAAAGCTAGAAAAGGTGGGCAGGACACTGAGAGAAAGGTTTAATAAATTTCATTAATTTCTATCTCCATTTTTTTCCTACTCCAAGTTCTTCAAATACCTCTCCCTACGCTTCATTTACTCCACTTAATTTAGCAAACTTCACTGGCAAAAGCCAACTTTCAGATCGCCCAATTTAGTCACGTTTTAAACTCGAAACTCGAGAAAATCGCTGGCAGGAGGACTTGAAGAGTGTGTGGCGGCAGGCAGTCAGTCACCTCTAACAAGTTGTTTGCTCGAAAGGAGCAGGATCCTGGCGGGTGTCCTGGCGGCAATCCCACTCGTAATTGATTTATGACATCAAAGACATATTTTTCGCAATGTTGCGTGGCCTACGTGCGTGACAGCTGGAAAACTGGAGGCAGCAGGTCCTGGTTTCGCTGCTGCTGGCTTTTGGTCCTGGTCCTGGTCGTGATTTTGGTCCTGCTCCTGGTCCCGCCATCTTGTTGATAATTTTGACTTATGGCTGGTGCGGCGGCCGTTGGTCCAGGATTTGTCGCATAACTCTGTCTGTCAAAAGTCAGGCGAAACAGGCGAAGCCCAAGATCTGGCCTCCGCTATCTGGCATCTGTATCTCAATCTGTAGTTAGGGATGGCAGAAATAGCGGTGTAGAATGTGTAGATGTAGTTTGAATAGTTAGCTTAAGATTTGGTTGGTTTTTTTAGACATTAATTAAATATCAACATTTAAGGAAGATATAATCAAAATAATTATATATAAAAATTGTATATTTTTTCTCAAAACTATAATCTTTAATACTTTAAAATTTAAGTTGGGTTTGTAAAACATTCATTTCATATCTGTACCTCTTACAGCTCCCTCTGAATCTCAACATTTCTACTACCCATTGGTACCCAAAGTTTTTCTATTAGGCGCAATTATTTCAAGGTATTATTGCTTTTAATTAATTCAATTAAACGCTTCATAAATTTTTACTTTTTGATTTCGTTTGCCTGCGGCCGCCTTCGCTGCCCCGGTTTTCCTTTAATGGAAAAACTTTGCCCACAGAGATTTGCCAGCAGCCGAAAAAGGGTTTAATTAACGGCAATCGCTGTGGTGGTGAGGAGGTTTTCTTCCCGGATTCCTGGAATTTGCTACTTTGCTAAAGATTTCAACTGTTTATTAAGGGATTCCCGTGGCTCGTCGTAAAATTTGATTTCGCAACTGGGGAAGCGCCGCGGCGCTTATTGAATGCCGAGCGGTCGCGTTTATTTGCATTTTTGTGTGCATGGCTGCAGATTCCGGAGGGGCTATTAGCCAATAGCCCAGATACAATTACATTCCTCAAACAAAAAAGGCCAGATCTATTCTCTCCGAACTTCTAACTTCAATTAAAAGGTCATCAGCAGTCGACACAGCTGCTGTTCCAATAGAAGAATGGGGGGTTTACCTAAACCTAAAACGTTATTGATATGTAAGGAGCATGCTCACACCTTCCTTTCTCTTAGGAAAAGAAAGCATTCAACACTCGGCTCTCACCACTCACATGTGATGACTTCCATCATTATCAACACAGACAGCAGGACTTCGGGGAAACTTTTCCTGTCTTCCTGTCGTGTCCAGCTCCTGCGCCCCTGGGGACCAAATAATCGAACTAGCGTAGAACAACAATTTGTTTTAAATGCCAAAAGTGAGGGCTGAACAATCGAAACCCCGAACACCGAACACCGAACCCCTTAATAATTTATGAAGACCGCTCCACATGTGGGGTGTTGCTGGCAAAGTTTTCTATCACTGGCTCGTCCGCTCTATTAGAGATTAAATGCATGTCGAAAAGGCAATTAGTTGGAGCTCTGGCTGGACCCAGAACTCTGCAGAGTAAGAAAATACGAGTAAGAACTTAATGAGAAATTTAAAAATATTATTATTATAATTGAAGTTGGACTTTTGTTCTATCTTTTCTGTATTTCTTAAAATTTTATTTACGTACAGACAAGAATCAAACAGGAAGCTCTTATTATAAAATATGTTAACTTCATTACCCATAATTTTTCCCAGTGCTTGCCAAGCACTCACCCTCCTTGGAATGACTTCAACTTGAAGTTCAACTCTCGACCTTTGGTC